TAAACTTTCACATTATGGAATACGCGGCCCTGCATATAATATTTTCAAAAGCTATTTAACTAACAGTAAACAATGCAGTACAGTAAAAAATTTAATCAAACCTTGTCTAACTTTCTGCCTGTCACCTGTGGAGTCCCTTAATGATCTTTGCTTGGCCCTCATTTGTTTTTGCTTTACATCAACGATATATGCAATTCTTCCAAAATTATTTTCTCTTCATTTATATGCAGATGATGCTACCCTTCTCCATTCGGCTAATGATATCGTCTCCCTTTTTGAAATTTCCAATGATAATTTACCTAATGTTCTCAAATATTTCTCTGCTAATAAACTCTCTGTCAATTTAAAGAAGTGCAATTGCATCATCTTTTAAAATGTCCATAGACCAGTTGATAATTACATAAGTCCCCTGTTGTCCTGTCCTGTCCACCTGTTGTCATGTCCTGTTCTGTTTTTGGCTTTTGTTTTTTCTGTGTGTTTATTTAAGGGCAGCCCTACACACATAGGCGTAGATCCCGGGAGATGGGGGATATATCCCCCCCCCCAATTTTTGACAAGGGGGATAGTCCATTGTATCATCCCCCCAATATTTCGATTATGTATGGGATAAAATGGAGCTTTACACACTTCAAAAGACTGTCACAGAAATAATTTGACTGTCTTATGCGCTTACAAAGATGAAAATTAGCATAATGTATTAATGTTGATAACAACATTATTTTATCTGGTACCAATCTAAGCTCTTCTTTTCTTAGATGTTAGATGTGCTTGCAAAGAGAGCCACATTTCACACTGAAGGGTGTGTACGACATCAGTAATATTGTAGATGGAGATCGCACAACTCAACAAAAGGGTCTCAACGCTTTCTATGTTCTAAAGTGTTTATTCAACAATACTTGATAGATGAAGAAAGGTGAAAGCATCTGCAAGGTTCAACCCGAAGCTAAACTTTATCCATCCTATGAACAAGAAGTAATATTGGCCTGATGGCCAGGGTTGAATTCGAGTTCAAGTAAGCAGCGGGTACACCTATACATGTTTCTCCTGACGCAAATCCAGTTATTGTCTATTATTCCATCACGAAAATAACAATTACTATCAACACTGCAGTACCCGCTGCTTACTTGGACTCGAATTCAACCATTAGGATAAGTTTGACCTCCCAGTTGGTCCAATTTGCCTTTGCGTAGGGTTTGATAATCCCCTTATCTCGTCGAACCGAATTCAGTGGCTGGTCATTGAAGCGTGCGGACTGTACCATTGTAAAATAGGGGTATTTAGTTAGTGTGAAATAAAGTAAAATAATAGTAGCAGACTCTTAGTAGTACTGTATAATGAAAGTCCATTGAAGAGAATTATAACTTGCGTGACAATAAAAATCACCTCTAATATAAAATTGAACTTGATAAAACATTCAAAAACATACATAAATACATTAAATTAGTACATGTGTGCATGTACAGTATATCACTTTTGTATAAAATCAAACATAATAATCATTTAAAAACACACACTTATTCAATAATAATTGTGAACAGTATTACAATTGTATGCTGTAAGCAAATATATTTTAACATATAATGTACAGGTACCTCTTATTAAACAAGTGATTTGTATTTTTGTTCTTTGGTTTAGAGTCAATGGTACAGTATTCTGAAAACATTAATAATTATTAATTGTAAAAAAAATATGGGGAAACATAATAATCATTTAAAAACACACACTTATTCAATAATAATTGTGAACGGTATTACAATTGTATAATGTAAGCAAATATATTTTAAAATATAATGTACAGGTACTTCTTATTAAACAAGTGATTGCTATTTTTGTTCTTTGGTTTAGAGTCAATGGTACAGTATTCTGAAAACATTAATAATTATTAATTGTAAAAAACATATGGGGAAACAAAATTAAATATATATTGCCATTTGATATTGCCAAGAATTAATGTGAAACTATTTTATGAAATACATTAACAATTCATTATACTCTATACATTATACAGTTGTTTGTATGTATACTTTACTGGTATAATACAGTCAAAAGACTTACTGTATAAAATTAGCACCAAAATTAAATGATAATTTATTCCATTACAGTATTGATTTCAAAACACTAAAACAGGTAGTGAAACATATGAATTGCAGTACATTAATTTTTGCAGGTTATCATTACAGTATTGATTGAAAAATGTGGAACTGCCGTATTTTTTTT